GGTCTGTTGGTGTGGTTCATTCCGAGGGACTTGCGTTGTTCGGGGAGGAGTTCGTGTTTCGAGCCGCGTTTGCCGTGCATGGCAGGTTGTGGGTACGAACCGGAGACGGGAAGACGCGACCCGGTTCCAAAGAAGTTTTGCTGATCTCTAGTGCTTGGAGGTTCATGGGTACTTATAAGTAGGGTTATAAGTAGGACAACTATACTTATAACCCATATTAGGGGACTTATAACCCCATTTATCTTCCAAGCGTGGACTTGAAAGCCGACGAACCCTGAACCCTAAACCCTAAACCCTAAGCCAAACCCTGAAGAAAAAAACCCAAATCCTCAACCCGGGAGCCCTAGTTCTTGAGGTGATGCTGTCAGGGTAGGAGCCTGATTCAGAGCAAGCTGCTTGTCATGGATCCTTTTTTCTCGGTCTGCAAGCAGCAAAAACACCCGTTCTTGGTGTTGATTGGGGGCTCGACTGCTCGACTTCAGAGTAACCCGACAGACTCGCAGGTTGAGAGTCGGCTTTCTTTGAGTTGGGCTTACACTGGGACTAAGCATGAACGGTTCAGCTTAGCTTCTAGGATGTTACAAGGTTTTGGGCTTAGGGCTTTAGGGGTTCAGGCAATTGGGGATTGGCCCACGCCGTGTCGGCACCCAACCGAAGCTACAATGCCCTACTTGGAGGATCATGAGACTTAGTGAGTAAGGATTTCGTCGTCTGGGGTGATGTGAGTCGTTGTAAGTATCCTTGCCTCATCTATAACCTAGCTACTAGGTTCCATGATCCTATGAGTGTTAATGGAAGCGGGCTTAACAGGTTTACCGATGCCGCATGCTCACAATTGGCGTTGGATCACGTAGTTGTTCTCCCCCCAACTAGTTTCCCAAGTTTGTCGGAGATTTGCTATCCTACAAAGGTTAGTGATCCAGGATCCGCATGCACTAGCCGCAACATTAAGTGTATTTTTGCAATTGTAGCTCCCTGACAACAGGAGGAGAGGAGGGGGAGGACATCTCATGGTTTCACAAATCGCCTTTCTGTGCCTTTCGGTTTCGCCAAGAAGCCGATAATGAAAAGGTGCACCTCGAAGTACGTTGGCGTCATTAAGTCCCAGAGCCGTGGGTCAGGGCCCCAGTCGGAAGCCGCGCATGATTCAGGTGGCTGCAGCAAGAAGTTTCGGTATCACCATACCCTAAGGCCATAAAAGTGGATCTGTTCCCACCTCGGAGGCATGAGCCGCAGATTCATCCGGAACCCTGGGCCAAGGTATCGAGTCCAGTTCAACCACGCGTACCTCGGCACCTGCGAAACGGAGCAGGACTCATGGCCAGGTTTGGTGAGTTGCTGCTGCCGCCCTGCAGTTGCTACTACTGCTGCTACCTCTATTACCACTACTGCTACTACTACTACTACTACTACTACGACTACGACTACGACTACGACTACGACGACTACTACTACTACTACTACTACTGCTACCACTACCACTACCACTACCACTACCACTACCTCTACCACTACCACTACCACTACTACTACTACTACAACTACTACTACTACTACTACTGCTGCTACCACTACCACTACCTCTACCACTACCACTACCTCTACCAATACCTCCACTACCACTACCACTACTACTACTACTACTACTACTACTACTACTACTACTACTACTACTACTACTACTACTACTACTACTACTACCAGTTTCTCGGTGCGCTGTGCTGGAGCAGAACTTTCGCAGCGGATACGCGGACGTCTTTCGCAATCGAGATGATTCCGAACAACTCCCAACCCCTGCATGGCGCCTCCCGTGCCAGGAAGCCGCCAGAATGTATGCGAAGGCATCTGGAAACTCTGTCAAGGGTTTGCTGGCATGCTGTAATTAAGGGTCAGTTCGTTGATTTACATTTTATTTCGCAACAAGAGGGCTTTATAGACCAAATATATTATACTATCTTCTGCTTCAACACTGAACACCCTTTTCTAGGCAACGGGTCAATGCCAGAAGCCACGAAACATGCGAGCCGTCTCGAGTTGCCCAGAAAGACCTCTCTAGGGAATCAGAGCATGCGTGGTTCGAGGTCCCTGAGTTCAGGTCAGACGAAGCGGGGCAGCCTTATGCGACTCATCACAGGTCTATGTCAGTGAAGCCAAGTTGTCGGCTTTTCATATTCATTGCGCTGGGGCTCAGGAGTATATATAATTCAAGACCCCTTTAAATTTACTCGGAGCATGAATCCGCCAAAACCCCGTGCAAAGCTCTCCGAAGAGCTCCGATGCAGGCGCGGAAGGAGTTTGAGGAGTCCGGCGGGCGGCCCAGTTTCTGCAAAACGCTCCGAAGGAGTTTTGCATGTGCCTCGTGGAGATTTCTTAAAGGGCTTTTGGGGGAAGGTAAGGCCAACCATAAGATTATAACATGATTCTTGGGGTGCCGGATCTTTATCCCTAGAACAGCGCCAAGTGTTCTCCAGCATTTGTGCCGGGGGATAGGTGCGAAGAACCTGAAGTGTGAAGCAAGCAAGCCCAATCCCCAAAGGAAGCCGAGTCGCCATAGTCGCCAAAGGGTCTACATACCAGTAATAACACAGTATATGTTATATGGCAATAGGGGACCCTAATATAGTACCCTAGATAGTAGGATCCTTTTTTTAGGACCCCCAAATAAGGTACCCCCCAATTTTCGGAAACTCCCATATACGTTTGGGCGCCCCATAACATCTGCTGTATTGATGCATGGGAGCTTCTGCAAATTAGGAGCACCTTAGTTTGGGGTCCTTCTTACAAGGATCCTACTATTTAGGGCATTACATTAGGGTCCTCTATTTTCAGAAACTCCCACATTGACCCCCGTGGAATCCTCAAGGCCGCAGCCCGCAGATGAATGCCAGCCGCCCCCTGGCGTGATGACTTGCTTGTGGTTAGTAGGGAATGGAGGAATGGGGTACACTTACTACTACTACTACTACTACTACTACTACTACTACTACTCCTGCTGCTGCTGCTACTACTACTACTACTACTACTACCACTACTACTACCATTCTCCCGTTCCCTACTAACCAAAGGTAAGAGGAGTGAGGGCTTGGGCGGTGTGAAATTCTCGGCGGACGCTTGCAGTACATGGATTTCTTGGTGTTGACGCTGCAGTGGGCAGGGATACTGCAAATGCTGTTGCCCAGTAACCTGACTCACTAAATAAAATTATCAGATTCCAGGTGTTACTGCGTGACAGCTGCAAGGAACAGGCAACACAAGCCATGGATGTACGCTCGTCGGTGTCTGTCTTCCTGCATCATCCAGTCCCCTTGTGATGAACGTGCATAGCATATGAAGCAGGGAACGAACGAATAACATTGTTGATTACAGCCGACATTGCTTATGTTTATGTGTATAGTTACATATGTAAACGTATATGTGTATGTATATGCATATAAGTAGATGTACATTTATATAGTTTATATATATACATATATATGTATATATACATATTTACATCAGGTATGTATGTACAAACCTTCGTGTATGTGTATGTACGTAGGTAGGCATGTATGCATGTATGCATGTATGCATGTATGCATGTATGCATGTATGCATGCATGTATGCATGTGTGTCTGTCTGTCTGTCTGTCTGTCTGTCTGTCTGTATGTATGTATGTATGTATGTATGTATGTATGTATGTATGTATGTGTGTGTATAGTTATGGATATCTTATGTATGTGCATTTACGCACGTAAGTATGCATGTTATGTATACATATGTATGTGTGTGTGTATATATATATATATATACATATACTTATATGGGAAGGTGCATGCACACAGACACAGGCACAGGCATGTGTGCACTCACTGTTCAAGCATACGTGCACATGCACACATGCACACATGCGTGTGTGTTTGAAATTGTGTGTTCAAAGCAGGAAGCAGACACAGAACAGAACCACGTGTACAAAAAACACACCTCCCTGCCTTTTGATCTCCCTGTGGCCCTCCCTCCCCCCCTCCCCCACGCACAGACACCCACGCACAGACGTAGTGTACCATTAGTTTACCGAACAGGTCAGGAGTTGCGACAGAAAGGCAGTCACACCGTAGCGGAGGGTGGAAAATTCCCGGTGTGCTCCCCAACGCCAAGGTGCCCCACGGGCGTCCAACTTGGGCCGGCTGATTCCACCCGACCACGACAAGCCTGGAGCCCAGCACGGTCACCGCGGCTTCGACCGTCGGATTCCCGGGGCCATCTGGCACTCAAGTCACAATGCAGCTGGGTTTAGGGATGAATATGTTCATGGACCATGCGCATGAAGGCCCTTCAAGTTCACGTGCTTGTTTGGAAGGCGTCAGAACATGCCTTCTTCGGTTCCAGAGTTCGACATCTGCTTCGCTACTTGAAGCTTTTTTGTGGTTTCGGCACTTACAAACCTCTACAGCCCAGTCACTTCTTGTAGAACATCATAGCCGGCATCTCCCACCTGTTGATCCGAAGAAGCGTCTGTCTGTTCCCCTCGAATTTCGCAGGGAGGAGCTCCAGAAGAAGTCGCAAGAGGTGGAGCGAAAAAACGACAGCCAGCACAGGCGGCCGACTTTGTAGGTCAGGATTGATGGTATTTTGTGCGTCATCGGCCTTTGACCATACCGCCGCAGACTTGGGGTGAAGATCTTGCATCGGGAACTTGAGTTCACCTGCTAGGATCGCAGCGGTTTTTGTCTCGAGGCACATGGAATTCAGCATGGTGGTTCCATGTCAAGGCAAGATGGGAAGGACGGCGCGGCCGTCCAAACCGATCAGAACAAGCCCCGGGCCCAGTGCAACTTTTGAGTTCTAAGGTTGAGGGCTTGGAGGCAGCGGCTATCAATATGCCGAGATGATTTGGGCGTCTTTGAAAGACAGTTGGATTGACACAGCGCATCAGGTTCCACGATCTTCAGCACGCCCTGGCATCCGAGCCTTCTTGTGAGAACAAGCCTAGCCATGCTAGACAGTGGGACCTTAATCTTCCATGGAAATCCCGGGCGAGCTTGTCTCCCGCCCGTCAATTTCGCAGGGAGGAGCTCCAGAAGAAGGTTCGGGAGCCAGAGCGGAAGAACGACAGCCAGCAGAGGCGGCCCACTTCGTAGGTCAAGGTTTGATCGAGGTTGTCCGTGATGGGCCCTTGACCATTGCCTTATCTTTGATCCTGCGACATGAATTCTTCAGTGTTGGGGTCTGGTGCAGGTGTTGGGTGAGTGAAAGGCCTTGCGTTGAGAAAGCGAGTTCGCATGTTAGGATTGCAAAGGTTTTCCGCGTGGAATGTAGCATGTTGGCTCTGCGTCGAGGAAAGATGGGAGGGATGGCGCGGCCGTCCCAACCGATCAGAAGAGGTCCCCCGCTCGGTGCCACGGTTCAGTTGTGAGTTTGAGGGCTCATATTATTATAGGGGCCCGAATACTTAACTAAACCATTTTTGTGGAGGGTTCCTCATTATATTTATACTAGAATGGGCCTCAAAGCCTGTTCTAATTATTGAGGCCCCTATGTTATATAGATCCGGTTGCACCTCCTTTGACCTGCATCTCAGCCTTCCTGTGAGAAGTGCCTAACCCCGAGCTTCTGCCCAGCCCTTCAAAGGTTTAGGGTTTAGCGTTTCAAATTTCCGCAGGGAGGAGCTCCAGAAGAAGGCGCGGGAGGTGGAGCGGAAGAACGACAGCCAGCAGAGGCCACGCATTTTGCAGATAAAGATCAGCTAGCTTTGATTTCGTCTGGGGTTGTGGTAAACCTCGGCTCAAGACTAAATAAAGCCTACAGGCCAGGTGAGTGAATGCGCCTCGACACGGCATGTTAGGTAGCATTTTGGCTCTGTCTCAGGCAAGAAGACGTGCCAGATGCTGGTGCCGTCGCGCCCGATCACGACAAGCCTGGTGCTTAGCTCTAAATGCAGTTGAGAGATCTTTGCTCTAAAGCTCCCTAAGACGTAAAGCTCGTGCTGTGAAAACATACGAATGAGTTGTCCCCCGGTTTTTGCGTGTCCCTGCGTGGCTAGCATATTCGGCCCCAGCGCCCTGTTCTCATCAAAAACGCGCCCTACTGCCTGTATAATTGTGTAATGTATATACACATGCGTATATGTATATGTATATGTATATATATATATATATATAGTGTTATTCTTACGTACGTATATAGCTGTATATATATATATATATATATACGCACATGTATATACATGTAAATTTTATGTTTGTACATGTATATATATATACACATACATATATGTACGTATATGTGTATGTATTTGTATATGTACATACATATATATATATATATATATATGTGCATATATATATATATATATATATATATACACATGTATATCTGACTCTCTCTCTGTATATATCTGTATCTCTCGCTGTCTCTATACATATATACATGCAGATAACTAAACAAGGCCAAACTCCGAACCCGAAAGCCATGTGCCCCAACACACAAGGCTGTAGCGGAGGCGCCCAGAGCTGAAAGTTTCGAAGGCACCAAACTGCTGTTGAGCTGAACACCCCCACAAAGCCGAGCAAGTTCTAAACCCTAAACCCTAAACCACAGGGAGGAGCTGCAGAAGAAAATTCGGGAGCTGGAGCGACAGAACGAAAGCCAGCAGAGGCCCGTGAATAGTTTTTTTTTTTTTTTTGGAGGGGGGGGGGGGTGTCGAGCCGAGAGAGTCTACAATGGTCGTCTTAGAAATCGTACTCCGTGCAATTCCTTATTTTCATAGTGTTATGGTGATGATGGTGATTATGATGATTATGATGATGATGATGATTATGCCTATTGCTGCTATAGTCTAGTATGCCACTAAAGCCCTATTCCACTGAGTTGCTTTATGATTTCAATTCTGCACGTTGTGTGCCTAAAATGCGAGTCAGAGCCGAAATCTTCCCGCCAGGCTCAGCCTCTAACTCGGAAAGATTGTCCTTCCTTTAGAGGGATCTATAAGGGTTTAGGGGGTTTAAGGGGTTTAAGGGTTCAGTGTTTGGGGGTTCCTTGAAGTCCAACCCCTGAGGTGATCCCCGAAGGTTTGGAGGCCATTTTCAAGAACTCCAGCAGCAGACCCCCAGTTCAGAGCTTTCGGGTTTCATGTTGAGGCTCCCTACAATCAGAGGGACCCCTAAGACAGGGGGGTACGATTCGGGGGCCTGAATGCCCATACTAAGCACCGAAGAAGGCCTATTTAAGGAAGTATAGTCGGCTCCCCCTTACCCTGCTAAGGGTCCCTGTGATACAATGACCACTGATCGCCTTGAAAATTAAGTAATCGCATTCCGTAGCGTTCCTCAATGTTCATATCAGGGCCAAGAACTCTAAAGCCCGAAACACCGACGCTTTCAACCGCAGCTAAACCCATCCCATCCCAAAATGCATCCCAAACCCCAGACCCAAAACCCGGCGTGACCCCCATAAACACTTTTTCATCCCCATATTCCACTCATGAAGGCTTGTAAACCCTCATACATCCACGAATAGATAATCAAGCCTCCTACCCAAACTGGAATTCGAATAGCCTGAGCATGGGAGCCACTGAAACCCAATGCCGGGGCCTTAATATTTAGGATAAGGTTTCGGAGGCTCCTTCTTGCAATAAGTCTAGTATAGTATACCCACAAACCCTCCCTCTAGCATAGCACCCTTTTAGTAACCCTCATAGATCCCTTTAAAGGGACCCTTTAACCCAGACCCCCGAAAGGATCTAGATGGGGCCCCATACTAGGGGTACTTTACAGGAACCCCCGATTAAGGGATCTACTTTTTGGATCCTCCCGTAAACCCTAGACCCTAAACCCCCACACCCATAAAGACCCCTACATTAGTAGAGTTCAGGGATTCTCTGACACTCGTGCCCTTCGATCCCTAGATAGTAGGATCCTCATTATAAGGACCCCCACTGGAAACCCTAACCCCCAAAAAAGAGCCCTTTAAGGAACCTTATAGTACCCGTATAGTACCCCTTTAAGGGATGATCAGGTGCGAAGGACCTCTAAGGAGCCCCTGAAAACCTGACGTGAGAGGCAGATCGAAGCTCTGGAGGCCGAGAAGGCACCGGGCTTTTTGTGTTTTTTTTTTTTTTTTTGGGGGGGTCTTTTTGGGGGGTTTAATAGGGGCTTAGGGGTCTTTTTTGGGGGTTTAATAGGGGTTTAGGGGTCTTTTTTGGGGGTGTCTAGGGGTTCGATAGGGGTTTAAAAGTGGTTTAGGGGTTCAGGCGTTTTTTTGGGGTGTCTAGGGGTTTAGGGGTTGACATAGGGGTTTAGGGGTTTAGGGTTTCGCAGATGCAGGATTATATTAAACAGCAGGGGTGACTCAGAATGAGGATCCTAGTGCTCAGGGTGCATAGGTTTGTTTTGGTGTAAGGGCTTTATCGAACTTCGTGTGTTTGCGATACAGGACATGAGGGGTGCGTTTGGATAGGGTTGGGCTTCGGGCGCTGGTCGGATCGGGGCTATCCAGAAGTTTACAGGGTCTGGGACGTACGCAAGAGTCGCCTTACTTAGGGAGTCCCTGGGGGTTCGTAGGTTCCGAGTTTCTTAAAACCCGCCGTGCCTCAACTCGGGAGCGTTGTAATGACGATCGTGCGGATTAGGGTTCATATTCTATACCAAGGGCCTTAATAATTGGAATAAGGTTGCGGGATATATACATTAACTATAATCAGGGAGCCCCCCCAAACCCTAAATCCCATTTTTTTGTACAAGGCTTTGGACTTTGGGCCTTAGGTCGTAGGGTTCAGGGTTTCAGGGAACCATGGTTCAGCGGTTTATTCGGATTTAGGATTTTGGGTCCAGGTAGCAGGGATCCTGGGTGATGGAGCGGAAAAAAGTAGGCGTGAAGAAACCTTCATGGATTTCCCTCTCGGCTGCTTCCAACTGTACTTGCTGGCTTTGGGGATTAGGTCCAGGTCGTTACAGCCTCCCCTGTAAATAAATTTCAAAGCCTGAATGGCAGCAACGCTACTCCTTGGGGTTCCTTATTCTATAGTCTCCTTAGGTTATTTTTGTTCACATAAAATGCAAGAGCGTATGAAACAACTGGTTTTATTGTGGCTCTAGGGGGGTATAGTATTCGATCTGTGTTATGGTATCTCCAAAACTCTGTGCCCTATAATACGGTCTCGCAAGAGCACTCGAGGATCTTTGTTTTTTCGTATGCTTCTGCCTCGTGCGGTCCGACGAATGGAAATTCTCAGTCCGCCTTCGTTTCAAGCTCTTCGACCGGATCGCCGCATTCCTTCCTTCCCTGAGGCAGTAGAGCAGCGGGCCACTGTGGTAGCCTCCCACGGGCAGGCTGAGTGGGAGGGGGGCTTCTGCCGAGCCTTTGTGGAAATTGGCTTGGCTCAGCCAGCAAGCCATGGACAAGAGCATACGGCTGGTTGCAATCTCTACCATTTTCGCATGTGTATAGAACAGAATCGAATATGTCTGCCCTACAAGCCCTTAGCCCTAAACACTACAAACCCTGTGAGCCCTAAGCCTCTATGTCTATGAGTCTATAACTAGTTACTATTCCTGTGCTGTGAGGAACTTGCCGCGCCTGCGCCGGCACCTGTCCAGGAACCTTCGAAACTTCGCCCATGCTGAAATCCTCGTGCTTTGCAGTATCGAGGTTTTAGGATTCAGTGCCTACTACAGTCTCCTTAGGAATTAGTTTTGTTCATTTATAAAACCCAAGAGAATATTAAACATATGATTTTTATTATGGTTCTAAGGGGGGTGCAGTCTAGGGTCCGGGCTTCAGGGTTTGGGTTCAGGGTTCAACCCAAGGGTTCGCCAAGTCTCGGGTTCTGCGGTTCACGGGCTTGCTTCCATCCATTTGGGGGCTGCCGGCACCGTAACAAAGTTAGTTAGTTCTGCTTCCACATGTTGCGAAGCAGGATCAGGGGTTTGCGGTTTAGGGTTCAGGGGATGTCTAAACCGCCAAGCTTTCCAAGGCCTTACTGTAAACCAGATCACAGGGCCGAGCCCTAAACGCTAGAGCCTGAACCATTTTCTCGGGGTACCGAGTATATACCCTAAATTAAGTAGAAACCCCGTTACTTGAAAAGAAAGCCAAACCACTCTGCAACTCTCCTCAAAGCCCATTCTTAGAGGGCCAGGGAGGTGTCAAGTTTCCGGCCAAGTGCAGGAGTTCGTGGCGCCTGCGCCCATTCCGCCGCCTCGACCGGAAGCAGGCGAGTTGAAGACTTACCTTTGGTTAGTAGGGAATGGGAATGGGGTACAATTATAACTACTACTACTACTACTACTACTACTACTACTACTACTACTACCATTCTTCCATTCCCTACTAACCGAAGGTAAGGAGATGGAAGGCTTTTGGGGCTTCAGGGTTTTGCTTGCCGCAGGGGCCGAAATATTTGCCAATGCTATTGTGGAGGGGTTCCTTATGGTTTAAATGTAGTACAACGAGCTCGCAAACCGTATTTTAAGGCCCCCGTACTAGGATGTTTTAGACTTGTGGCTTTCGGGGTTTTGTGTTTGTTTAGAGTTCCGACCTATGCCAGAGGGCCCCAAAGCGTTCCGTGTTGATTCGCTTCAAAAACTCTAGGTGGTTCGGTTTGTTTATTGCCTGGGGTCCTTTTTTCCAATGGTTTACTGAACAACCCACAGTTTCGTTGCAGTGTACTGGCTGAAGGTGCAAGGCGCGAGGCTCACAATCCACCCGTGGGTCCAAGGAGCAGAGAGGGCTCACTGAGATTTTCCACCATCAGTAGCTGGACAATTGCGCCCAGGCGTTTAGAAGCCGCAACTCGTGGAAAGGATTCTGTTAGCCTCTGGCGATATTGCATAGCGGTTCCCCCCTAAACCCTAAACCGTCTGGGCTTTCACGTCCGAGAAGCCCTGGCGCGGCTCATTCCAGGCTACGCTGCTGAGTTCTTCAATACGCCCGGGCCTCGTGGCTTCAGGCGTTGGGAGTGCTCAAACTGACTTGAAGAAATTGGGAGTTTCTCTCAAACATTAGGGGTACCTTATGTTTAGGGGCTCCTGACAGTAAGTAAGGATCCTGCCATTCGGGGTACTTTATTAGGGGTCCCTACTTTCGGCAACTCCCACTTACTTGGTGTTTAGGTAAGATCCTGAATGAAAGGGCTCCCCAGAAGGACCGGTGTTCTTCACATCTGCTTGCAGTCATGGGCAGTAGTGCCAGTCTCAATCCGAGCCAGGAGGCCCTCAAATCCTGGATCCCTTCCAGTTTACAGTTTTTTGTTTCCAACAGCATGAACTGCGGAAGATCAGCAAAAGAACAATTCCGGCGTGCTGGAGTGCGAGCTACATGTTCTTTGTGTGAATCCTACCCTAAAAGCTACCATAGCCTACTTTGTTGGTAGGTTCTTATTATATATATATATGTATATATCTGTATGTATATATATATATATATAATTATATAAACCCTCTATATTACTATATAGGGCCCCTGCTAAATAGCAGGTTTGGGTAGATCAAGGTATGCCATGCCCTAAACTCCCGCAGCCTTCACTCCCAATCCCGACAAACCCGTAAACCCGACAATCTCGGAGCCTGTAGTCAAAGGCTCCAAAGCAGTTCCTTTTTGGGGTTCATATAAAGAACCCTATAAGGTAATCCCAAAAAGGAGCTACTATGGAGCCTTTAGTCTCTAGTCCCGACGAGGCGTTCGACGCAAGACCCGGAATCCTGAAACCCTAAACAGGGAGCCATAATTGACTTTTCTGCCATTATCAGTATGTATGTATATGTATGTATATATATATAATATAGCAATAATAAATATTAGTATTAAAAACAATACAATATAGTATAATATACTGAAATATATGAAGGGAGCCATCTTACCGATGTTACGATTATCCGAGCGGCGCTGAAAGTCAGGACGAACTCGACTGAGGGCTCCCATGTACTTGGTGCGAGCCTCGGTGCTCCCGGAAGGGGGCAGCAGGACCTGGACTTCTAGGACATGGGTAGTTGTCAAAATTAGGGTCCTTTTTGGGTACCCTAAATATTAGGTGCCGCAAAACTAGTAAGGATCCCAAAAGGGACCCTGATTGTGACAACCACCCACATGTTTTCGGGTTTGACTTTTTGAAGTTGCATATTACCATGGTTTTGCGATTTTTTGGGAGCGGCGGAGGAGGGGTGTTGAATGTCTTCTCAGTCTCATTCACGTTCTTGATCAGGGGTTCGGAATTTCGGGGACAAGAGGGGGGGCCAAGGTAGGGCTGTCGGAGGGCTCCGGACTCTGAGAGCCGATGGCTATCTCGGGGCTCGGGCTACTACATAAAGCTTACTGTAAGGGTTTCTGTCAGGAGCAGCTATGTGGGGTTACCATGCGGATGAATTGCAAGACCAAGATCAAGACACCGAAACCGAGGAGGCTCTTTCCGGTGTTGTGGCTTGTGGGTTGGAGTGAGGCGCAGGGACTGAAGCCACAGCACGCCACATCCTGCAGCGACGTCGCTCAGTTTCCTTGCACCCTACACCCGCTAGACCCGAAACCCTAAACCCTGAACCCTAAACTCCAAACCCCTAAACCCTTAACCCCAACCCTGCACCGCCGTATCAGCTCTGCTCTTCCCTCAAATCCTTCAGACCCGGGAAGAAGCACAAGGGTTGCCCCGAAGAGACTAAGCTGGCAAAGCTCCGACGCCGTTAGCCCCGTGTAGTATGTCCAAACAGTACCCGCTACAGCAACTCTTGCAGAAATCCGAATGGTGCTCTAGTCATACCTCTTCAAGCAACTCTTATCTCACCTCCCTTAGGAGCTCTCGCAGCATCACTGCTACGTATCAAGAGCTCCGAACCCAGGTTGGATCGGCGATGGGGGCGGCTGGGAGCCGGGAGGCCACAGACCTTCCGCCGCGACGTTCCGTTTAAAAGATGGGGGGAGGGCGTGGCCTCTTCAAGTTTACTATAGCGTTTAGGATTTTGGATTGGGGATATTAATTAGGGTTTGCGCGTTTTGGGTGTAGATTACAAAGAGGGTTTTGCATGATTTGTGTTGAAGTCCTTTGATTTCTGCCCTGAGTCTCAACTGGTTTGCACGCAGGTGAACCTCCTCGCAATGCTCCTCTGCCACCAGCCGACTCCCCGGCGATGGAGGATGTGCCAGAACACATGGGCCGCCCTCAATATCTAGAAAGCGTCGTTTGGGGTATATGACGCCCTTGTCTTCCTGTCCCGGCAAGACTTCTTCTTTCGGGTCGATGAAGTGAAGAGGACTTCTAGTAGCTGTCGACTTCCGAACACAGAGTTGTGGCTTCGCATTGACTCACAGGCCCTATGAACCCCTTGCCCTGAACCCTAAACCTCTAAACCCTAAACCCCTACAGCCCGAAACTTCTAAACTCCTAGAGCCCTAAACCCCCAGACCCGTAATACCCCTAGAGCCCAAAAGCCCTAAACCCTAAACTCCTAAACTCTGAAGAGCTTCCGCTTTGCTAAGATTCCTCCGGGCGACACAGAGCCTCCGGGGCCCTGCGGCCCCATGTGCCGCTGCGGACAGGCCGCTTTGTGCAGTCCGCTTGACTGGGAGCGCGAAATACAGAATATGTGACCGTTGCATGCAATATGTTGTGAGTATATGGTGTACAAGTAAATGAATAAGTATAAATAGAAGGAAGAAATAGGTAAATATAAAGAAAAAAATATTCCATAAGTAAAAAAAATTAAGCAAATAAATGAATGAATAAACCAACATAAACCTATCTATCTATATATATATATAAATAGATATAAATATAGCCACATACATACATATATATATATATATATATATATATATTTGTATAGCAGCATATCGTGTCGGGCTCTTGGATCGGCACTTTCGGCGCTCAGGCGCCTGGCTGAGGCGTTGGGTTCAGGGGGGTCGCGGCCCACAAAAGAAAGCGATTCGAAACTCGCGGTTTGAGGTTTAGGGTTTGGGGTTTAGGGTTTAGGGCTCTACCGGTTTCGGTGTTTAGGGTGCAGGGTTGGTTCAAGCATTTGAGGGCTTGCCTGTGTAGGATTTTGGGAACCCGTCCGGGTTGTTTGGTTGAGTCAGGTGCATGGGCAAGTGGCCTAAAGAACCCGCAAGCCCCAAGACTAGCTTGTGCCACAAACCCTCAACCACCAGAGAAATATTCCTATGCAGAACCCTAAACCCCAATCCCCTGAACCCCTAAACCCGGAAACCCCAAACCCTAAACCCCTAACCCCGAGCCTTTAAATTGACAGCAGCTGGCGCTTAGGGTATATTATATTCTAGTACAGTATAGTTATAATCAGGAACCCTAAGGAACAGGAATATAGGGGCCTTAGTAATTAGAATAGAATTTTTAAAAAACCCCTTACACTATAAACATCATAAGGTAAATTGTTAACGTCCCTATGGTAAACCCTAAACCCTAAACCCTAAATCATTCGAGGTGGTCAGCAAGGCCTCAGAGGTCGAGAAGCCGTGGATCGCTGATGAGGACGAGATTTTTGCGGAAAGTGTGAGGGCTGTTTTCAGGATTTAAAGATGTTTGAAGCTTTTTGCAGAAAGTGTGAGGGCTTTTTTCAGGATTTAAAGATGTTTGAAGCTTTTTGCAGAAAGTGTGAGGGCTTTTTGCAGGTTTTAAAGTTGTTTATAGTTTTTTGCAGAAAGTGTGAGGGCTGTTTTCAGGGTTTAAAGATGTTTGAAGCTTTTTGCAGAAAGTGTGAGGGCTTTGTTCAGGATTTAAAGATGTTTAAAGCTTTTTGCAGAAAGTGTAAGGGCTTTTTGCAGGATTTAAAGATGTTTAAAGCTTTGAGCAGAAAGTGTGAGGGCTGTTTTCAGGATTTAAAGATGTTTAAAGCTTTTTGCAGAAAGTGTAAGGGCTTTTTGCAGGTTTTAAAGTTGTTTATAGTTTTTTGCAGAAAGTGTGAGGGTTTTTTGCAGGTTTTAAAGTTGTTTATAGTTTTTTGCAGAAAGTGTGAGGGCTGTTTTCAGGGTTTAAAGATGTTTGAAGCTTTTTGCAGAAAGTGTGAGGGCTTTGTTCAGGATTTAAAGATGTTTAAAGCTTTTTGCAGAAAGTGTGAGGGCTTTTTGCAGGATTTAAAGATGTTTAAAGCTTTTCGCAGAAAGTGTGAGGGCTGTTTTCAGGATTTAAAGATGTTTAAAGCTTTTGGCAGAAAGTGTGAGGGCTTTTTTCAGGATTTAAAGATGTTTAAAGCTTTTTGCAGAAAGTGTGAGGGCTTTTTTCAGGATTTAAAGATGTTTGAAGCTTTTTGCAGAAAGTGTGAGGGCTTTTTTCAGGATTTAAAGATGTTTGAAGCTTTTTGCAGAAAGTGTGAGGGCTCTTTTCAGGATTTAAAGATGTTTAAAGCTTTTTGCAGAAAGTGTGAGGGCTTTTTTCAGGGTTTAAAGATGTTTGAAGCTTTTTGCAGAAAGTGTGAGGGCTGTTTTCAGGATTTAAAGATGTTTGAAGCTTTTTGCAGAAAGTGTGAGGGCTTTTTCAGGATTTAAAGATGTTTGAAGCTTTTTGCAGAAAGTGTGAGGGCTTTTTTCAGGATTTAAAGATGTTTGAAGCTTTTTGCAGAAAGTGTGAGGGCTGTTTTCAGGATTTAAAGATGTTTGAAGCTTTTTGCAGAAAGTGTGAGGGCTTTTTTCAGGATTTAAAGATGTTTGAAGCTTTTTGCAGAAAGTGTAAGGGCTTTTTGCAGGTTTTAAAGTTGTTTATAGTTTTTTGCAGAAAGTGTGAGGGTTTTTTGCAGGTTTTAAAGTTGTTTATAGTTTTTTGCAGAAAGTGTGAGGGCTGTTTTCAGGGTTTAAAGATGTTTGAAGCTTTTTGCAGAAAGTGTGAGGGCTTTGTTCAGGATTTAAAGATGTTTAAAGCTTTTTGCAGAAAGTGTGAGGGCTTTTTGCAGGATTTAAAGATGTTTAAAGCTTTTCGCAGAAAGTGTGAGGGCTGTTTTCAGGATTTAAAGATGTTTAAAGCTTTTGGCAGAAAGTGTGAGGGCTTTTTTCAGGATTTAAAGATGTTTAAAGCTTTTTGCAGAAAGTGTGAGGGCTTTTTTCAGGATTTAAAGATGTTTGAAGCTTTTTGCAGAAAGTGTGAGGGCTTTTTTCAGGACTTAAAGATGTTTGAAGCATTTTGCAGAAAGTGTGAGGGCTCTTTTCAGGATTTAAAGATGTTTAAAGCTTTTTGCAGAAAGTGTGAGGGCTTTTTTCAGGATTTAAAGATGTTTGAAGCTTTTTGCAGAAAGTGTGAGGGCTTTTTTCAGTGTTTAAAGATGTTTGAAGCTTTTTGCAGAAAGTGTGAGGGCTTTTTTCAGGATTTAAAGATGTTTAAAGCATGTTGCAGAAAGTGTGAGGGCTTTTTTTCAGGATTTAAAGATGTTTGAAGCTTTTTGCAGAAAGTGTGTTTGAAGCTTTTTGCAGAAAGTGTGAGGGCTTTTTTCAGGATTTAAAGATGTTTGAAGCTTTTGGCAGAAAGTGTGAGGGCTTTTTTCAGGATTTAAAGATGTTTAAAGCTTTTTGCAGAAAGTGTGAGGGCTGTTTTCAGGATTTAAAGATGTTTGAAGCTTTTTGCAGAAAGTGTGAGGGCTTTTTTCAGGATTTAAAGATGTTTAAAGCTTTTTGCAGAAAGTGTGAGGGCTTTTTGCAGGATTTAAAGATGCTTAAAGCTTTTTGCAGAAAGTGTGAGGGCTTTTTTCAGGATTTTATTAAACTTTGAGGGTTGTAAGGTTTTTGGGTTCCAGGGTTTTGGGGCTAGAGGGGTTTAGGGCTTGAAGTTTCAAGGGTTCAAAGGTTTCAAGATGTTGAAGGCTGTTTCGGGGTTTGAGGGCTTGTGAAGAGGGGTTCTGGCAGCTTGACGCATGTTTGGTGAGCTCTGGACCTCATTGTCCATGCTTCGTACTTAAAGCATCATGGGTTATAAGTAGGGTAACTACAGTTATAATCACTTATAGCCCCAATGAAGGTACGTATAACCCTACTTACTGAGTCCAACGATCCTCCAAGTAAGCATTCAAACCCCGGGCTGGGTCTGTTGCACTCAGGTCCAAAAACATGTCACAGGGCTGCTAAGGGTCCCCTCATCAGAACCGGATAGTAGGAAGAATGGTACCCTAGTTATAAAGGGGCTACTCAGGAACCTAGGCTATATCGCCCACATAGTGAGTTGCTGGTTTCTTTGAGCCCATCGAGGCCAAAGCAAAGCATCGAAATTGATGGCAGGTTCGACGGCAGGCTATCCTGGCTGCTATCGAGCGCTTCCAAAGCCGCTTGCCAGAGGATCAAAAGTCGCAGCATGGTTGTGATGAGTGCGGATAAGGTTTAGGGTTGAGGGTATAGGGTTTAGGGGTTTAGGATAGGGGGTTAGGGTTTAGGGTTTAGGCTTGAGGGGTTTAGGATAGGGGTCAGGGTGTAGGGGTTTAGGATAGGGGGCAAGGGACGCGAAGACAGATGGGTTTAGTTTAGACGAGGCCCCCACTGGGTGGACAACCGGCTTGGGGCGGGCTTCGGGCCTATTATCAGCTTTGAGTGTTCATGGTTTGTGCTATTGTATGGTTTCAAGTGCCTGCCCCTCAACCCTAAACGCTAAACCTTACCTCGTATGGGATCGATTGGGCGATGGGTTGTCGATGGAGGTGCTCTGACCTTCTCAGCTCTGGGTAGGGTTCCCAAGCCCCGCTGGAGCTTTCTACTTAAAGGATCATGAGACTTGGTAAGTAGGGTTATAAGTAAAGTAACTAGAGATACAATTACTTATAACCCCAATGAAGGTACTTATATCCCTACTTACTAATTCCCATGATCCTCCAAGTAGATTTCGGCCTTCAGCATGGACACCCCGCCCTGCTTTCCCAGACTTCAAACCCTAAACCCTAAACTCCAAACCCCTAACCCCAAGGGTCCAAGTACATACTGTAACTATCATGTGCTCTCCAAAATCCTACTGCTAACCTACAAGAACAACGCTTTCCCAGACTTCAAACCCTAAACCCTAAATGGCAAAACCAAGGCCACCCTGGCGTGGAGCGCCGTGGCAAGGCCGGGCGCCCTCCTTTCCGAGATCAGGCTGAGATATGGGAGTTTCCGAAAGTTAGGGGGTACCTTTAAAGGGATCCATAAGGGTTCCTTAAAGGGACCTAGTAGGGTTCTATAAAGGGTTTAGGGTTTAGAGTTTCCGAAAATGAGGGGTACCTTTAAAGGGATCCATAAGGGTTCCTTAAAGGGACCTAGTAGGGTTCTATAAAGGGTTTAGGGTTTAGAGTTTCCGAAAATGAGGGGTACCTTTAAAGGGATCCATAAGGGTTCCTTAAAGGGACCTAGTAGGGTTCTATAAAGGGTTTAGGGTTTAGAGTTTCCGAAAATTAGGGGTACCTTTAAAGGGATCCATAAGGGTTCCTTAAAGGAACCTAGTAGGGTTCTATAAAGGGTTTAGGGTTTAGAGTTTCCGAAAATTAGGGGTACCTTTAAAGGGATCCATAAGGGTTCCTTAAAGGGACCTAGTAGGGTTCTATAAAGGGTTTAGGGTTTAGAGTTTCCGAAAATGAGGGGTACCTTTAAAGGGATCCATAAGGGTTCCTTAAAGGGACCTAGTAGGGTTCTATAAAGGGTTTAGGGTTTAGAGTTTCCGAAAATTAGGGGTACCTTTAAAGGGATCCATAAGGGTTCCTTAAAGGGACCTAGTAGGGTTCTATAAAGGGTTTAGGGTTTAGCGTTTCCGAAAATTAGGGGTACCTTTAAAGGGATCCATAAGGGTTCCTTAAAGGGACCTAGTAGGGTTCTATAAAGGGTTTAGGGTTTAGAGTTTCCGAAAATTAGGGGTATCTTTAAAGGGATCCATAAGGGTTCCTTAAAGGGACCTAGTAGGGTTCTATAAAGGGTTTAGGGTTTAGAGTTTCCGAAAATTAGGGGGACCTTCCTTTTGGGGTCCTTCTAATAAGGATCCTACTATTTAGGGAACTATATAAGGGTCCCCGATTTTCGGAAACTCCCATATTTTTTGCAGCCAGAAGACTTTGAAACCACCTGTTACAATTATACTATGAATATAATGTAATTACCCCCAGACCTTGTTCCAACTAGTTAGGCCCCTCAAAATTGCAGGCTTCCCAAAATTGCATGTTTCTGCGACTTATGTAGGGTTACATCTGCTGTAGGACCAGGGCTTCATTCAACGGATCAATGCCGGGTCGCCCGAAGTTTGTTGCGCGTCGTGGTGCAATGCTCAGAGCTATGCGCAAACTTGCGGCTAAACCTTAAACCCTGAACCCAGCAGGGCACATACAAAACGGAGGCTTCCATACCATAATCGGTATCAGTGTGTGGAAGAGATTCAGCAAAACTCAGTGGGGCTTTGTCCGTGGCTCGCAATACTCCATGCGAGCCTGTGCACTCTCACATGCACCCAACCCGTGGACTCCATGACGAGCGGTAGTTCGCATCATCTCATCCTACTGTGTATGCCTGCAGCCTGCCTCTCTGGGCCTCGCACAGCCGCCAAGCTCAGCACGTCGGAGGACAAGTCTAGGATCTAGAAACTCCTGGAAACCTGAAAGGCAGGCTGACTGTTCGTTAAACAGGTGTCGCGCCAGAATCGGTTCGAGCCGGCCGGGGCCCAAAAGGCTGCTACGGGCCTTAATAATTAGAATAGGGATAGGGGGGCCCCTTATACTATAATCATAACAAGGAGCCCCCGAAAATAGTATACTTGCTTGCTTGCTTGGCGGACAATGTCGAGCCTAGGAAGGCGCGTCCCAAAAATGCGACTCAACAAAAATAGTACAGGCAATTATGAAGGCCCCTATACTACGAGGTTTCAGAAGGAGCTTCAGCTTCGGTTTAGCTTTGCACCCGGACCGGGGGTTTGTCAAAGGATCACTCTTACAAAACCCGGCTGCCGGGTTCGGATTTTTTTGGGTGGAGGGTTTAGGGCAGATTAGGGTTTAGGGTTTGGGGTTTGGGGTTTAGGGACTGAGGTTTGCTAAAGGTCCTGCTACCAGAATACGAGATCTGCAGCTCTCGATACGGCGTGAGTTCCCGCCGCGTTGCTCCGTCTCAGAGACCCCGGGGCTGGGCCGGGGGCCTCTTGAACTTAGGGGTACCTTAGGGGTACTTAGAAATAAAATTCTAATCCTTGGTTATTATAAGCCCTAAGAAACAGCTAAAAATAGAATTTTTGCTAGGGTTCTAAGTTCAGTATACCTTCTTGCGGGCTACTGCAGGTTCTTGGGTTTGGGGTTTCGGGTTTAGGGTTCTTCAACTTAGGGGTACCTTATTGGGGGTTACTACAGGTTTGGGGTCTTGGGTTTGGAGATTTAGGGTGAGGGTGATCCCTGAACCTCAAACTCCTGTGCTTGAGTGCACGCCAGATTCAGAAACCCCGATAGTACACTTTCTCTAAGTCGTGGCCTTGGGTAGGGTTCTTAGTAGATGTTGACCCCTTCCGTTTGGTGGGTTTTCAGAGAGCTGTGTCCAACCCGGAACCCTAAACCCCTAAATCCTACACCCTAGACCCCACACCCCGCACCCTAGACCCTAAACCCATCTAAACCCCAAGCCTCCCCTTTGTCATAGTTGGGGAGCCTCTTCAGTTTCAATGGGTACTTCAAAAAGAGAGGGAATAGAAGTTGACATGTTTGATACTATTCCAGCCATGGATTAGTCCCATATCCCTCAGTGCGCGGTCCAAGGCAGCGCCGGAGAAGATGAACCGCGCGCTGACAAGCGAGCCAAGCAGGTGATGTGCATCGTGAAGGGCTTTAAGCTGGGAGAAGCCCCGAACCCGAAAACCCCAGACCCTAGACCCTTTAGGCTCTAAGCCTATACCGTGTTAGCCTGGGATGGTCGAATACTATCAAAGGATTGGGCTGCCAGGTTTCGATTATGCAGCTCTTCACTGTGTGAACTGTGGGAGTTACCTTTCCCTCGAAACACCTCAACTATCCTGCGAACGTTGGAAATGCCGCGAGTCTGCGAGGCCAGCAAGGTGCAGAAGTTATTCCCGACGCTGAAACCAACGTCTTTTCAGCTTTTCAATGATAGTTCCCTTGCCGAAGACGTTGCTGCAGACGTCGAATCCGCTCCCGACCCTAAACCCTAAACCCTCAACCCTAAGCCTTAAACTCTCAACCCTTAAACCTTAAACCCTTACCTTCCAACTCTAAGCCCTGAAGCCTCAAACCTAAACCCTAACCCGAAAGCTTGATGCTGACGTCGCAGGACTCAGTACACTCGCGTTCGGAACTCGGGGGTTGCAGATTCAATACTTGGGCTTCTGCACCTTGAGTATCGTCAGCATCAATGAAGGCCAGCATGGATGCTTTGTCTGGCCTCCCGGTTTTTGTTCTACTTTGAGGATTTCGGCCGTCGGAGCGATATGGTTTCGAAGACCCTGGCAGAAAATTTTGGGACTTCAGGGCTAGTCGTGTTGGACAGGGCTAGAGACACGGGAGTTAGGGTTAGGGTTAGAAGCTGCCCCCCACCCTGTAATAGTGGTATGATTATAGGAGTATAGTAGGGCCCTAATATAATCCTGATAGTCACTATTACAGGGTGGGGCCAGCTTCTAGGGTTAGGGTTTAGAGGGCAACTCCAGCAGAAGAGTTAGGCTTTAGGGTTCGAGGGTTGAGGCTTTAGTCTCGGCCGGAGGGTCTCTTCGGTTATGAAACAAAGCTATTGTTATGATTTCTATCATCATCATTTTTAGTGTTGTTATGTTTGTGTATGTAGAAGTAGTCTTATTACGATCATTATTTTTCGTCTTATTGTTGTTAGTAGTCTTCTGCATCAACTCGGACAGCCAAGGATGCCTCGTCGGAGTAAATCCTCTCTTGAACATGTAGAACAAAGAGCCCTTCCGAGTCCTTCCCAGTCCCGGTTTGCGAGCCTCGCAAGTTCCATAGGGGCCTTAACTAAATAATTACCTGTACTATGCTGGGGGCTCTTTAATATAATTACAGTAGAATGGGCCCCAAAACCCTATTCTAATTATTAAGGCACCCCATTCTAAAGTAGTGGCAGCGAGGATCATGTCAACATGCTCGACTCGGTGCTGCATGTATATCTTGAAGCGTCTCTTCCGAAAGCGTCCCATGAGCTGAGGAAGTGCGGGTTCTGCGATGAGCGCCGGGAAGAGCCCTTTTAAGCCTTTCAGCCCTGGGACCTCGAAACCGCGGCCCAACACCGTCCCGAGAAGTGAAACATGTGAGATCATGGTTCAATCGTGCATAATTTAATGTCGTTTAATCTAGTTTAATATACATTTTTAGCTTAATGGTATGTAATATAACATAACCTCAAAAATTTTGAATATAACAGTAATATGATGTAATACCGTCCCTAAGCTCTAGGACTCTTGGTGTAGATGCTGATGGGCTCGGTCCGGGCATACCCTGGAGCTTCTGCAGGCAGCCGTCGGAGAAAAGGCTGCCTTGTGATACCTTTGTAACAAAACGATCCACATCTTATACCTGTAGATACCTGAAGTATCATACTGTATGCCGTAAAACCCTGTTAGAAAGGGGCCCATACACCACGGCTGTCCGAGCCAATGAAGTTCGAAGCTTTTGGAACTCCTGAACTTTTCTCGTTTGGGCTTCTTGGAAGAAGATCAGAACAGAGCCCTAAACACCTAAGAGCCACCCAAAGACGCCTAGCCCCCCAAACCCTAAAACCCACCAGCCCTGAACCCCAAACCCCCAAAACCCACCACAAGAGCCCGCAACTTCTTGCCGCAGCCTTGGAAGAAGATCAGAACAGAGCCGTAGTAGGAGGCTGCTCCAGGGGCTCCAGGCCTCGGGAACCGGACTCATGCCGTGGCGATTTCGGATAAACGCGAGAAGAAGAATTGATGAGAACCAGGATAGGGTTGAGACTGACAGTGACAGCAACAATACCACCACGACCAACACAACAACAGCCACACCAGCAGCAGCAGCCTCAGCAGCAGCAGCAGCGGCAGCAGCATCAGCAGCATCAGCAGCAGCAGCAGCAGCAGCAGCAGCAGCAACAGCAGCAACAGCAGCAACAGCAGCAACAGCAGCAACAGCAGCAACAGCAGCAACAGCAGCAACAAGCAGCAACAAGCAGCAACAAGCAGCTGCAACAGCAGCGGTAGCAGCACCAGAAACAGCAGCAACAGCAGCAGCAGCAACAACAACAACAACACTGTTCATATTAAGGAGACCTGTCGAGTTTGCATGCTTGTATGGCATCCCTTTGCTTCGTCTGTGCGTCGAAGGGACGGTACATCGGGTTATCTTGCACTGCTTTGGGGTTGGGCTGCGGGGGATGCCCGACACATGGTCGAAGGTGAGATGGCGGCGGCAGCACTGGACATGTCCTTCTTAGAGGCAAGGTCGAGCCACGCAAGAGGCACTAGGCCGTTTTGCAGGCATGTCCGCTTCAGCTCATCGGGCTCATGTCTGGCAGAAGCTTACGGGGCAGTGTTGAAGTTGGCAAGTGTCTGTGATATCAGACTTCAGTCACCCTAGACCCTAAATTCTAAACCCTCAAATTGTCGCTAAGCCTCCAGGACTCCCACAAGCAGCCCTGTGGCTTGTACCAGGATCCGAGCATGTTCGGCAAGAGCCGCTACGTCGAGGACGAAGCAGGTGCAGCATGCTCCTTTCAGGGCTTCAGTGGCCTGTGTAGACAAAACATCGAGGTGTGGGTAGTAGTAAAACTCCATAGTACTCCCATATACTTGTACTCGACCCCCAAACCCAAACCTCCATTACTTCATTCATGGACGTTTCCGGAGCTTTCAGTTTCGTTCAAAGACTTCTGGGGCGAGGCTTCCTTGAACAGGTTCCTTAAATAGTTACTAGTAGTTGTGTTCTGCGGGCGGGCTCCTTATTGTAATGATGTTGCCATGTCCCCGAAGACCCCAAATCCCAAACTTAGCTCCGTCTCGGAGTCCGAAGGCTGACAGTCGCCATCCGCCGAGTTCTAGATTCAAGTCATTCGAGTTCATGTGTATATACATATATATACACACACACGACGCTTTCTGTATATAATTAGGAATAAATGAAAATATATATATATATATATATATATATGTGTGTGTGTTTTCAATATATATATATGTATATACACACACACGACGCTTTCTGCATAAACAAATAAAAATATAACTAACTAACTAACTAAATAAATAAATATATATATATACATATGGATAATTTGCTTCTAGATTTGTATCTGTATTTGTTTGTAAATCTATATCTGTATCTATGTTTGTGTGACTCAGGCGACTTTTTTGCTCGCCTCCGTCTTGCCTTTTGCAACCGCCACGGTCGACCCGGAACCCCAAGTCTCCATGTTCCTTACCATAGGTGCAACGGTCTAGGGTTTAGGATTTAATATAGGGTTTAAGGTTTAGGATTTAATTTAGGCTTTAGGGTTTAGGGTTTAGGATTTAATTCAGGGTTTAAGGTTGAGGATTTAATTTAGGGTTTAGTGTTCAGGACCTAAATTTAGGGTCTAGGGTTTAGGCTCGAGAGAAGCAGCCGAAGCTGAAAATCCCCTGTGCCTGGGCTCGCATCGAAACCCGCCGCAGCAGCCTTGAACTGATCCTGCGCCTACGAGCACACTTAAAGGATCATGGGACTTAGTAAGTAGGGTTACAAGTAAAACAGCTACAGTTATAATTACTTATAGCCCCAATTAAGGTACTGATAACCCTACTTACTAAGTCCAACGATCCTCCAAGCATGCAATTGGCCAGACACCACGGGCTGAGAACTTCCAAAGCTCAAAGTCACAGTCCCGCCCGCCGAACCTTCCAACTCCTCAGCCTTCCAAACTCTCTGCCTGAAGCCTTTTTTGAGGCGACCATCTGGAAAATCTCCGCGGCTGCGAGCCGCCGATGTGGGGTCACCCAGTTTCAGCTGCTTCAGACTTGCAGAACCACCAATAGAGACCTAAAGCAGCATGAAGTAATCGCGACGATTACGGCAACGACTTTGAGAACACAACCGCAGCCGCAGCCGCAGCAGCAGCACAAGCAGCAGCAAGAACAACTAAGTCCACTTACAAGACTGGCAGTTAGAATAGCAAAAACTATGAAACTATAAATGGCGACAGCGACGACGCTACATGTTCTTGAGAGTGCACATGTGCTGCGAAAGGTTCGCAATGGCCCCAGTTGCGAACCCGAAGACCTTCGGCATCGATGTGAAGAAGTCGGGCGAGGCACCGGTGGATTTCAGGAAGCCCTTCATGTTCGGAATGCAGAGTTTTGAATCCAGATGAAGGCTCACAGCTGTTTGAAATGATCCGGCAAGCAGAAGTCCCGGGTCACCCTGGAATTCGCCCACCGCGATGTTTCCTTTGCCGAGAATCGGGCTTGAGTTGTGCCGGCTGCATGAGGCCCTGGAGTCCATGCAAAGCCCCGTATCAGCGGTTTTCTAGGCAGAAAGCTGCCTGAAGTCCTAAACCCGCAAGCTCTTTCCGAACGCTTTGTGATTCGAAGCCTTCTAGGAGCGTTTCAACATACAAACACAAACACAAACAAAACAAATAATTAAATGAATAGATAGATAAATGATAAACATATATATATATATATATATATAACGCTAGACGAAGGAGAGGCCCTCCCCCATCTCGGACCCCAGCGAGTGAGAGGCACCAGGCATGATGGACTTCATGCAGCTCGGCGGCTCCTATGACCTTCACACTGTGCCAAGCGATGTGCCGTAATAATTACACCTGTACTATGTGATTGCATACTGTACTGTGTATATGCGATGATATGCTATGCTGTACTAGCTGAGATGCTTCCGGGTGCATTGACAGGGTTTGGCTTTCATCTTGGTCCGGGCGCGATGTCGTAGGCCGAGAAAGATTATGTCGGCAAGAACACAACTGTTGAATATGGTTCAACAGCATGTGACCTAGACTTATTCCAAAAGGCATTCGAATGGCAACGCATACACCATATACGGCGGACATCACCGCTGCCAGATCATCATGCACTCCATCCATCTATCCATCCATCCTTCCATCCTTCCATCCTTCGATCCTTCCATCCTACCTGCGTGTGTGCGTGCCTACATGCATACATACATACTTACATACTACATTTAATAAGTACAAAGGAATATGCCTGTTCCTGTGCTGCATGAGATATCGCATACTGCAATCCGGTGGAGAGGGCTGTTAGTAGATCACGGATCATGTAGGAGATATTCCATGCCCCATTCCACTAGACAGGCTTCCTTGAACTCCATTCCCGTTGATGCCCAGGAAAGGAACCACGACACTGGGATTCGTGTGGCCTGGCAGGGTGTGGTTCGAGGATGCCAGATTCAAGGTCTTGGTTTCCAATGGCCCCAAAACCCAAAGCCCCATAAACCCTAAACCCCAAACCCCAAAACCCTAAACGCCTCACGCCGTAGATCCAAAACCTCGAAGAGAGTTTCGGCTTCGGCGTCTCCGGCCCATATGCCTTTACACTCGTGCGGAGAATCCAGTGATCACTCTCCGTGAGGGCTTTGCTCCTGTTGCTTCCTCTGAGGAAGAAAGATCCACTGTCATGCCAGCGTGCACCAGAGCCAGAAACACAGCAATCCCGGAGACCCTGAATACCCATATGGGTGATGGCTCTGTCCTCTCATGTAGCGGATAGCTTCAACACCGGCACCGCTGGCACCCCAAGTCTTCCAAGTAGTCGATGTCGCGTCCCACACCCGACAGCACCCCATTGCAGTAATATAGGGGCCGAGGGGCCTGAATAATTACACATACTATTTTGGGATTTGCTTATTAACAGTACAGTATAGTAACTTACCCCAAAACCCTAAACAAAAAATGGCCCCTATATTACCCTTATTGAAACCCCATCTTTGAGGTTCCAGGGTGGGATCATCATCGCTGTGGACTCCCGAGCCTCCATGGGCAGCTACATCGGCTCGCAGACGGTGAAAAAGGCCTGGCTGTAAACAAAAGAAAGGCCTGGCCTCTTAGGGTCAGGATGTTTTCCGGGCCTGGGTTCCGGGGTTACAGTTTACGGTTCAATTCTGGTACAATTCGGAGTAATCTTGGGTTCAGGGTTCACAGTCAGCGGCTTCGGCCTGTCCAGCTGAACATTCAATTGTCGACAAAAAAACCTCAAC